CACACACACGCACACACATACAGTAATGAGCAAAGTGGCGAGACAGGCTTAGCAGCTCTGCCCACAAGCTTTACTTTACTAACATTTAATACGCTGCAATACAACAATTAACGCTTTGCTCAACCGAGTCCAAAGTGCACCTCCAAGACTGACAGACATTCCTGATGAAGGTTATACATTGTCTAAGGACCAAGTGCATTTTACATAAATTCTGGATTGCAAAACTGTATTACATAATCATTTTACATCACAACTTTTTACATTTGGAAACACATTGACATGATGCACATTCATATTGTTCTGCAGTGAACATTAAGCTTTAAAAATTAATCTAGGGAGAAAACATATATAAAACATATTTTATACTTTAAAGAAACTGTATGGAGTATTTCTATAGAAATTTGGATTTAAACACAAACCTATAGAGAGGAAAAAGTGTGAAAACTAGTCCCCTCTTCCCTCTATTTATGGTTTTAAATTGGGTTTTTATTTGTCAATTTGTCTTTGTTTTATTTCTAAACGTGTGAATGTAAAATATTGTATACAAAGCAGAGCCTTCTTCGTCTCCTCAGCGCTTCACGTCGTAACGCCGTTTCTGATTGGCTGCCGCGAAGACGGACGGGGGCGTACCGAGTGACGTTCGAGTTTTGAGTGAAGAGGGAGGGATATAAACTTGAAGACCGGCTCGCGTGATGATCATTTGAGGTCAAGTCTACACAGCATCACCAGAAACATCTCGAAGACCGACGTTTCAAAAGCAGAGAGAATCTGAAAATAACACGCTATAACCAGCGAGAGAGAGAAACGCACCGATTTCGATACGCGCACCAGTAAATCCAACATGAACGGGCAGATGAACGGTTTCCACAACTCCCTGATTGATGAAGACTGCTTTTTGTTCACGTCGGAGTCTGTCGGTGAAGGACACCCTGGTATGTATCATAACACGGTTAACGTTACGTTATAAATAAGATTTTCGTGTCACAAGGTCGCGCGGAAGGCAAACACAGTCGGGCACGAGATCCCTCAGCTAGCACGTGCTAATAGCTGCTGATAACTATTTTACATGTCTATACATAAAAACATATGCAATTATAACAGTTTATTATACTGTAATCATGTCAAGGGCAGGAAAAATGCGTTATTCTTTAACGTACGCTGACTTGGGTAAAGTGGGAGGTAACGTTGTTTGTCTCTTTGGCCTGGCGCGGCGGAGTCACCGGATTTGAGGACCAAAGCTAATCTCACGAATGTAGGCCATGAACGCTTTAAGGGCTTATTTATAATGTTATTTTCGTTTTTATAACTATATATAAATAGAACTAATAGTCACAACATATTGGCTCCTAATAATTCTGCTTATTTCTATTTGAAGGCCGCGC